AAAGGACCACGCGCTGTAAGGAAGCCCAACCCTGTGACCTGGAGAGGCAGAGGTCATGCGGCCACAGACTGAGGTGCCGGATGTGTGAATGAAGACTTCTCAGACCTCCCTGCTCAGATGCCAAGTGAGTGACTCTGGCCAATGCCCAGCCGGGTCCAGTTGACTCAGAGAATTATGAAAAATAGTAAATGGTGGGGGTCTCAGCTACTAGTTTTGGGGTAGTGGTTATGCAGCGATGGATAACTGAAGTGGTGACTTGAAATAGTAACAATGTATTATTTCCAGTGAATATGTCAGTTGGGTGGGCGGTTCTGCTGATCTGGACCAAGCCTGGACGATCTCATTTGGACTTGCTTGTACCTCTGCAGTCACCTGAGGGCTGTCTGGTCAAGGATGGCCTCAGCAGTGATGACTCAGCTCTGCCCCATGGGGCCTTTCATCCTCCAGTGGGCTTGTTCTCATGGTGATGGCAGGATTCTAAGGACAGAAGCAGAAATGTACAAACATTTTTTTTAAAAAAGGACTTTCTCTAGATGAGAGAAAATCATTGATCAGCTGCCTCCTGTACTCCCCACACAACCTGCAACCTGGCCATATGCCCTGACCAGGAATCAAACCATGACCACGTAGTTCATAGGTTGATGCTTAACAACTGAGCCCCGCCGGCCAGGTTGGACTTCTTTTTTTAAAAAAGTTTAGTTTTATGTTCACACTTAGGGGACTACAAAGACTGAGGAAAAGGACCTGGATAAGGGAGGTCATTACGTAGGGCCATTAAGGCTACCAAATCTACTACCAGGAATCTAGGCTTATTCCTTATCGGGGAGTATTGAATAGCATTATTAAGATTTTGGACTAAGATCTGGGAACACTGGAGAAATTATATTTGAAATTAAGTAAAACAAGTAGGTGAGCATTTTCTGATTGTTAAAATGTTTCCAGATTTTCTTGCCAAGTCATTACTGCTAGTGATATTGATCTTGGTTTATTTCCAATAGAGGGTGACTTTCCCAGTTTCTTGTTAATAGATTTAGAGAGAATAGGGAAGAAATATCAGGTTTCACACTATGTGGTTCCTTGTTCCACTAATTAATTCACTGTAATGATGATTTTAAGACTCTTGGAATAGTTGATTAGAGTCAGTTTCATAGAGTTAGCTCTCTAAGTAGCCAGTGGTCGGTCTGCTTGGTGACGTCTCTCTGGAAACTGAAGGCTGTTGGCATCTATCTGTGCTTTACCGAAAGGAAGCACTCAGGCTCTTCATGGGAAACAAGGGCTGTGTGCACACATGTATGTGTGCATTTGTACATAATGTGCGTGACCATCTCTGATCCATTGTGATTTAAATTTAACTTTACCTGTGTTCACCTCTCCTGCATTCCCAGGAGACACTGAGAACTGACGTTGCATTTTCACTTTCCTCTCCGGGAGGCAGATTCATTTTCCTCTCCTGGGATTTCAGAGCAGAGTCTGAGGAGAGAGAAGGGGAGACTGGGATTACCACTCCCAGAGCCCCGCCTGCCTGCTGCTTACAGCGGTGTGCTGCTGCCCCCTACACAGTGATTCACACCAGGCCGATCAAGGTTCTTTTGATCTGCTCCTCTTTCCTCCACTGCCCCCTCTATCGAGTCCTAATTGAATTTTATTAATCCCGAGTTTATTTCTTGCTCAGGAATTAGGAATCAAGGAACCTGGGTTTTGGTCCTTGAATCATTTAATATCTTTGGGTGTTCGTTTTCTCTTCTGCAAAATCAGCCACCTGGACTAGAAGTGTGTGGCTGCTCTGAGCTTTGAAGGTTAGGATGCCAGGATAAAGCCAGACACACTTTATAGGTCTTAACCAAGTGATGCCCTGAAATGTCAGACATATTGGAAGAAGTAAGCTGGAAAAAGTCTAAGAATGCGGGTTATTTGTGTTGCCAAGGAATTATTGATCTCCATTCTGAGCTAATATTAAACCATAACACACTTCCTCAGTGTGTGTGTGTGTGGGGGGGAGTGGGGAGAAGTATAAAAAGATTTCAGAACTGAAAAGAGGGGTTTCACTTGCTGAGAATTTGGGGAGTATCCTTTTAAACAGAAAGATGGTAGCTCACCAAGTCAGCGATTCTGACGATAAGGACTACGAATGGTTGGGCATTCCTCAGGTAGAATGTGTCCATTCCACGTTTTCCACCAGTGGTTTGTAGTTGTTGTTTTAGAGAGGAAGGGAGAGGGAGAGAGAAACCTTGGTGTGATGTGTAAAGAGAACATAGATGATCCTTTGCCTCCCTCACACGCCTGATGGGAATCGAACCCACAACCTGGGTTTGTGTCTTGACCAGAATCGAACCCGCGACCCGTGAGGACGGTGCTCCAACGTGAGCCACACCAAGCAAGAGTGAAGTGGAAGGAAGTAATGAGGGCTAGAAATACCCCTTGCTTTCGGTTCATCTGGGAGGGATCCGCTACCTTTTCGGTTCCTATTGAGCACATTTAGCTACAGCTGCCATGACGGCATTTTTCCCCTGGGAGAGTTCTTTAGATCTGCCCTTTCTGTAGCTAGACTGACAGCAGATGCCCCCACGCCCACTCAGCGCTCTCAGTCGGATTGGATCCCCAACCCCACCACAGCCCACATGCGCTTTTGGCCCCTCCAGCCTCCTCTCCTCTCCTCTCCTCTCCGCTAGGACCCCCTCGCCAACTCTTCCCTACCTGTCAAGTAGGTCTTATTTCCTGGGCACACCTGCTGTCCTTAGAAGGGGAGACACCGTCGCCTTGGCATCCTAGCCTGTCCCTTCCAAGCCGAGTCCAGTGGCTAGGCGACCAGGCGTTGCAGAGTTCAACGGCCTGGGGCAGGGGGGAGCCCTATCCCGATCAGCCTGTTCAGCCAGGACGCAGCATTCTGAGAGCCGCGGGGAAGGTCCCGGGAGCTCTGGAGACTTGGAGGGATCGGCCAAGCCCAGGGGCTCCTGCTGCCCCTGCTCTCCGTCCTGGGGGCTCCGTCCTGGGCACCCGGGACACAGAGCCGCGTCCCTATGAAAGCACTGGGCACTCAGTCGGACTGCGGGAGAGGCTCCCGCCGTCGCAGCTGCTGCAAACCGGTCTGTTTTCCCTGCAGGGCGTGCGGGATGGAGCAAGGGGGTGGAGAGAAAAGGGGAAGAGCTTGGGCGGCCGGCGGGCGGGGCCTCCAGCCGCCCTGAGCCGCGGCCCTCA